CCCCAAAACCCCAAAACCCCAAAACCCCACAATACTACAATAATAAAAAGATAAAATAAAAAGGTGTGTGATAATAAAAGTATATATCAAATGAAGGATCTAAACTTTAATTTATTCATATATTAGAAATCAATCAAATATTCTAAACATGGAAAATACCAACTTACAAGAATAAGCATAAACTGTAGAAGTGAAATAGCAGGAATCCTTCATACTTAGTCAACAGAAAAACCCACACCACGAAGGTTCAAGACAAGTACAGATGTCTCAGATTCATAACCAGAGAGCCCTAAACATGAGAAAGAATTTCTAGCCACTTAACCTGAGTTCTAAGCTTTCTTACTCAGCGAAGAATAGCATGCAGCAGATTATTTTTACGAACCAAGACATTCAAAAGGCATAGATGTTTGATAAGTACAATAAAATCAAGGCGATGAATAATAACATGAATAACGAGACTTCACATTAAGGGAAGACAGGTGCAGGCAGCAGTGCTATTGGGAGTACTCCAGGGGAATTGTCAAATCAGAGAGTTATCAGTGAAAGCGATCCAGTTACAAGTAAAACTCTGAATGTCAATCCAGGGACTATTAATGAAAACGAGCACTCTCGAGTTTCTGGGGTTTTTCATAACGGACTCTATGTGGAGGGCATCAATGGCAGAGGACAAAGCATGTCTAAAATTGGGTTTCAGACTAACTACGACAGATTCGGCAGAGTGATGACCAATAACGACCCTCGAGGGGGACAAAGTTTTACAAGAGAAGAATCCCCTCTGATGAAATACAAAAGGTCGATTAACCCAGGAGGTACTGATGCAATACAAACCACAGCTACATAGAGCATAAATCATCCTTTCAATTCATTGTATGCAAACTCGTCAATGAGGAATGGAGAGTACGATGCTCAAAACTTCAAGAGCAGCAACTATGTAGTTAAAATGACTACGAAGAGTGCTTACAAAAATCCGATGAGTGGGATGTCCAAGATATAAAGACTTGCTCCTCAAAAGGCTTAATCTGTCATTAGATAGTATACATCTTAAGTTTATAACAGAAAAATCAGTTCGTCACAAAGAGATAGAGATGAAATAAAACAAAGGAGATTTGAGCAGTCAGTTGAGGATTTAGGCAAGGCAAAAACAATACTGCCTGATATGACTTATCAATCTGGCTATAGAAATACAATAGGGGTTGATTAAGTCAGAAATGGAACATCTCTGTAAAACTCAAACAGTAAATATAGAAATAACAACTTCAACGAGTAAGCCAAAAGAATAATAAAGAAAATTTCATAAAGGAATGGTAAAGAGGAATCTCTAGATAGTTTGAGTGAAAATCAAGTGCATAGAGACTCTAAGAACGTGAGCATATTCAATGAAAATCATGCTGACTTCAGCAGGCAAATGCCTAGAAAAGCATCGCTTGAGTAAAACAGACTTCACAAGAACGTGTATTCTTCAGAGGCCACAACCAGGAAAAAGAGATTTGAACCTATGAATCCTAATAACATCTTTTCTAATGATGCCATGATATCCCCTGTCAATAGATCGTAGTAGGACTTTGGCATTCAAAGCAGAAATGATCAGTTGAACTTCAGATCTTAGAAATCCTTACTTGTAAGTACTAGTTTTTATTAATAATTTACTTAGAGATATGTGGAACAGCAAAGTCTAGAGCTGTAGCACTGCAAGTCTAGAATAGCTTCTCTTGAACATGAGATGTATATGTAAGATGAGGAACTGCTTAAAATGAAGTAAATTAACAAGGACTTATTAGATCAACTGTCTTAAAATCAAATAATGAATCTATCTGATAATCATATCAACAGTAATAACAATAACACACAAAGCATGGAAGCAGTGCTTAAGAACAGTCAAAATAATGCAGATGCTACCAAGATACACTCTTTATACTAGGATTTGTACTTAACTGACCTGAAGAAGGATCTCAATGTGGTCGAATATGAACTCAAGAACCAGAAGTTCATGTATTAAGAAAAAGTCAGAGACACCACCTCGCTCAAAAAGGAGATTATACAGTATCAGTGCTCTCTCAAGAGATATCGTAGAATGGTGTAAGAGCTACAAAATAAACTGTCAAAGTTGACATCATCGCAAAACTAGTAGTAAAATAACAATGGGAATAAAAAGGACAATTTGTTCCAATACTCAGAGGATCTAGCTCATTAGCCATCCTTTGATAATACATCCTAAGCCTCTTTCTAAGATAAGAAAAATTCCACACTTGGCAACATGTCTTAGAAGCAAGATGCATCACCAAGGAATAAGAACGTGTCTTCAATGGGCCAGGTAAAAGCACCACTTAATGTAAATACAATGGATCTGCAGAAAATGGAAAAATTACAGCTGCTAATGGCTAATCTTGTTAAGACTAAGAAAGTGTTTAAGGCGTTTATTAGTGTCTTATTTGACTTGAAAAACTGTGTGAACTGTTCTATAGTTACTCTGTTTTTGTTCGATACTAAAATCTCTGATCATCAGATTAAGGACTATTGCTTCATGCAAAAAACTATGATAGACGGCAGATGGGTAGATAGAATAGGAATCAATGAAAAGGATGTCAGTGAGCCAGGCTTCAAAAAGTTTGAGGATTTGTAGAAGATAGTCAGGACTTAAGAATATTTGGCTTTTCCAGTTTTCAACAGAAACGGTGACTTGATTGCTGGGATTCAAGTTGAAGCTAGAATAAAACAAGCCACAGGGAAGCATATGGGCTTCTATCTGATAGATGAACTAGTTATGAAAATTGTACTCTCCAATTTCCAAATGAAGCTAGACAAACTAATCGCAGAGCAAGAGATTAAAGCTAGAGAGAAAGAAGTCATCAGTACCATTTCATTGGCAAGTTCGATCTGCACCTAGAGATCTTATAGAGATTTATTTAGATAGATGAAAACAGCAATACCAATATTCTTTGAGTTCGAATCTATTGGCATCCTACTGAGGGATCTTAAAACATAGGAACTCTTTACTATAGCAGAAAGCTATGACTTGACTGGAATTGAATAGAGAGGAGATGAATTTAAGAATACTACTATCATTAGATTCCCAAGTTCACTGGGGGTTACAGGATATGTTTACAATAGTGGAGAACTTTACATTTGCAACAAGGCCTAGAAGGACTCCAAGTTCAGTTCTGATATTGATAACCTAGGAGCAACAGGAGATGTACACAACTTCATGATTGGACCTATTTACGGCCACAAAGATACAAAGAATAAGGAATTACCAATTGGAATCATTTAGTTTACTAATAAAAAGGACTTCAAAGTGATTAACGACTATGACAAGAAAAAGTTTCATGCCATTTAAAACCTGATCGGGTTGTCTATTGATAACACATCTGAGATACATTCTACAATGAACATCACGATAGCAGTAAGAGATGCCTTTGTGAATTTGGAGAGAATGCTTTTTGACAGCTTTAATGACGATAAGAGCATAGGATTGGATAATTCAATTGACAATAAATTTGAAAAGATGAATGAGCTGCTTAATAAAATTAGTGACATCAAGAGACAGATTTACTTCTGAATCTTGACTATGGGATAAGATAGGGCCCATATTATGAATTTTAATTTTCACACCAGACTAAGATTACTTTTGAATTCTTATCATATTATTACAAACCTTAGCTTAATAATTTAATAATCACTCATGCCCCTCAGTGAGTCTTGCTTGTTTTTTGGCAAGCAACTTACCAAGCAAAATCTAGTTTTATCTTATTCTTTCCTTTCTTATCAGATCTGCCATCATGTCCTACTCCTCGAGATGTCTGTGCAATATTTACTTGATTGAATTCTCAGTTTTAATAAGAATCTTTTTCAACTGCTACCCAGAAGTGCTTATACTCTAGATTTCCACTCTCTATTGCTAGCTGAATAATTTCTACAGAACAAGTATCATTATATGCTCAAGGATTTGCAATTACTATTAATTTATCTTACCTTCCAAATGTAATCCTTATTCTACAAGTCGTTGAAATTTCTACACACCTGCTTTATCATAAAGATCTCCTTAGCTGAAAGATGTAGGAATATCTGAAATAGTATTTCATTTGGGATTTCTATATTTATGCTTATCTCAGAAAGACTTGTCATTTTCTCTTTAATTTTCTCAATTCTCAATTTAATCTTATTCTTTGAGTTATGGGGTTTTGGGGTTTTGGGGTTTTGGGGTTTTGGGGTTTTGGGGTTTT